CACACACACACACACACACACACACACACACACACACACACACACACACACACACACACACACACACACACACGGCACACACATCACACAAAAACAAACAACAAACAACAACACACAACGGAAAAAAGAAGCAACCAGACGACAGGCTCTTCATTGCATGCTTATGATGCCCTGGATCCACGTTTGGTAATGGCCAACACTAGGAACGAAATATTATTCAGGAACAGAGAGCTGGAGGTGTGTTAAGCCAAGATCGTGTGATATATTCCATTATAAGATGCTTCTACCATTCCATCATTCCTCTGGTTTCCGGCGGACCATACCCAATGGACCACCAAACAAGGAAGCTTTAACATCTTCGATAGTGGCTCTCTTAAACAACCACTACCTCCGAGGTTCGTTTTGCCGAGGCGGAAAAGAACTGTGCGACAAGCTTTGCCAAAGCGCCAGCGCAGCCTATTTTTCTTTCTTTTGGCTGGCGCTGCCAGCCATTTCGGCGCGGTGGCACCCAGCCTCTAAAGAATGCGGTATAGGTTACACCGCATCTTCAGGAGGTTTCGAGTTTGCCTGTGAAAGGTAGTGGTTTAAGAGTGATGCCCAAGTGGGAAAAGCAGCTGCCCACATCAAATTCCCTGAAAGCGAAGAGCTTTGGCAGAAAGCAGAGCTAGGGTGCACTAAACATTGGCCCTACCGTCTTCCCCCGAACATAACGCACCCTAAAAATGAATGCATACAAGCTATATTTCCGGCCAAATACAGCCAAAATAAGGGTGTGTTGTGTTCGGGGGAAGACGATAGGGATAAGGGTTCCGCAACAAGTCGCCACGAGAAGATCGACTGCGGCAACCTGGGCTGGTTTTGTCATCAGGGGGTCAGTCGTCAAGAGCTAAATCGACATTTAAGCCCTCAAGGGAGTAATCAATGCTGTCAGGGCGCTCGGCGAGCGAAAAGGGGGTTAGTGGGAGTGAATTGGGGGCAAAAGTAGGACCATAGTTTTTGGCAGGGCTTAGCAGGTAAAGAAGGGTTTCGGGTTTAAGGGTGACAGGGTAGTTAACAGGCAGACAAGGGTTTTGGTTTTGGTATTAAGGCTAACAGGAGGATTAAACCTGCAACATAATCCCTACACTATTAAAATCGCTAAGGTAACAAATCTGAAATCCGGGCCGTCGTCGGTCCTACCGGCCCACGGCCCAGATCGACCTAACCATGTAACAAATCTAAGATCTGGGCCGTCGGGTCCTACCAGACCAACGGCCTGGATAGATGCGGTCTTAAGATCTTAGTACTGCGCCGAGATCCAGGCCGTCCGTCCAGATCGACGGCTCAGATAGACGCGCCGCGGAGTGCCGTGGGGTACTACCGGTCAAGTGCCGTCCGGTGCTACCGGAGTCGAGGGCGCTTCATGACGGCAGGCCAACCCAACTACATCTTAGCGCAGTGCCGCGCGTTTTTACTGTTTCAAAGGGCCGTTTCAGTCCGCGACGGTGCTGTGGGTGCCCCAGGCTGTCGCGAAGCATCCGTGCGAAGCGCCTAGGCCAACTTTCGCCGATGTCGCGTGCAGTTTTACTTCGCCCCTCTAGCGCGTAAGTCGTCAAGCACCCTGCGCAGTGTCATGGAGCCCTGAGCTCGACACTCTCTCTCTCTCTCTCTCTCTCTCTCTCTCTCTCTCTCTCTCTCTCT